ACGATTTTGGGAAAACTCTGATGTAAAACGTATTTTGAAACAATTTGTAAACAATGATGATTTGGGGTTTGTTTTAAAAAGTTTAAATTTTTTCATGAATTTTATGAATGTTACACACTTAGTCCCTATTGACATAAAATGACTATTTTGCCCTTAATAATTTGTTTTTAAATTAATTTAATTTATTTATCAGTTTAAATTAATAAAAAAATATAAAATAAAAATTATTATGTACAAACCCATCCACCCTCCTTTCCCTTTCCCAGATTCTATCCCTTTTTCTCACATATTCATCTTCCTTTCGAACTCATCTTCCTCTCTAATGATCGGCACCCCTGAAGCTACTCTGACGAGATCATGAAACCATCCACCCTCAATGCACGATGTAGAACAAAAGCAACAACAAAGAGAGAGAGAGAGAGAGAGAGAGAGAAGTTGGTGGCGGTTCAAATTTGTGTTTCAGATGGGAGTTTCATATCCGGCGGAGCTGGAGTGTTTAGGGTGGTTTCCGGTAAAAAAAATCCTCCTTATTTCTCCTCTAGACCCACTGATCAGAGAGAGAAAGAAGTTGAGGGAAGCCAAATCGATAAGAGGAAGAGGAAGAGGAGATCAAGGAGAACGGTTTTCCGGAACTAAATAAAATCCTCCATGTGTCGCCTCCAATCCACCACTGTCCTCCCCTGCAATCCACTGACGTTGTAATCCATGGATTTGCACTTCGTGGATCTGCACTCTGTCGATATGAATGTTAGAGACCGTCTCTTCGAACTCTTCTAGGTGGTGGTGCAGGAGACGTCTGGTTTAGAGATGAAGAAGGAGACAGATGGGGTTAGCGAAGTCTGGTTGGAGGCGGATGGGAACGACGACGTCTGGTCGGAGAAGAACGTTGTCTTCCCCATTTTGATTTTGCCCTAATTCTGGATTGTTTGCATAATAATTGGTTTGTTTATATTTTTGGGTTTTTTGGTAGGGATGATTGAGCGATGACAGGTGTGTTCGAAGGGGGTAGGGTGAGCTGAGAGCAGATTTCTGGTGGTGGTTGTCTATGTTTCCAGTGGTGGTTATGCAGGATTTTGGTGGTGTTGCAGATGTCCGATGAGGGTAGTGGTTTAGTGTTCTTCAAAAAAAGAGAAAGAGCATGTAAAAGTGTTAGGTGGACCCACAACTTTAATTTAAATATTTTTTAATAATTAAAAATAATCAAAAATATTAAAAATAAATGAAAAAGAAATTGCAAAGGGCATTTTGGTCATTTCAAGTCTCACAGGGGATGAAACATGCAAATTTAAACTAACGAGGGATGAAGCGTCCACCTTTCTACGATATAAGAGACGGTCTGAGTTAATTATTGAAAATAGAGACTAAACGTGCTTTTTGGCACATGTACGAGGGATAAATGGTGTAATTTACCCTTCTTTTTTTAAGCCGCAAGCACACGCGCACACACCATGGTAGGGAGTATAGGGTTAGGCGACAAGAGGGTATAATAAGGAGGTTAAGGGCCGGTTCTTTTTGAGGCATGGGCTGCAAATTGTGAAGCAATCCCGTGGGTTATAACTTATAAGAGTTTCCATGCAATATTTGATTTTTACACAAAAGGAGCCATAACTTTACCATAATGGCATTTTCACCCTCTTATATAATTGTTCTTTCATATTAGATTTAGGTAACTTCCGTTTTAGCCCATAAACTTTCTAAATGTTTTCTTTTATTTTTATTTTTATTTGTTTTAAGTATTAAATCATTCCCTTATATCATTTTTATCAATTATTATTATTATTATTATTATTATTATTATTATTATTATTATTATTATTATCCTGAAATTACGATAAATAATTAAAGAACGAAAAATAAGATGTTACAACTCTCCCCGCTTACAATAAATTTTTTCTCGAAATTACTGGTCTTTGAAATTACTTATGACCCAAGCTAAATCATCAAGCCACATCTCACTATGGCTCTTAGTCCATGATGGTTCCTTGAATATCAAATTTGATTCTAGGTATTGCATCCATACTTCTAAGCGTACTTGAACTCATAACCATAGACGTCTATCTCCTGCTCGTTTTATAAGATAGAGCTCAAAATCTCTTCTTAACTTGAGCTTTCCTACACATTTAAACTGCTTCACACTCTCGAGAGTGTCACTTGGGTTATCATGATCTTTAACTTGAAATGTCTAAATTATTGCTACTCAAATTAGCGTGAACTCTCCTTTATCATGCACCGACATTTGGAACTCCAATCATCATGAAACTTTCTCCAAATTAGCACATGAACCGGAATCCTTGACCTGAATAAGTGACACCTTATGCTTAGGTACCACCTTACCTAACATAATTGTATCTTCACCTTTCTAGTAAGAAACTCACTCAGATTGTCATGAAACGGGAATTACTTATCAATATGTTTGTGTTAACTATAATGTGTTTTAATACCTCATGTTATGGGCAACTTTCATGAATACATCTCTAGCTATATTACTTTATTTCAATAATGAACGTCTGATCAGTTATCATCTACCACACAGTTTAGGATGTCAAGCCATAGTTTTTAACATGTTTAAACATTTCTCTACATATCTAGCCACGTTTCTCTTCAATCTCGGCCATCAATAACCTTCCATCACGCTAGACCTCGCAATCTGAGACACGAATACACGAATCTGTGAGAGACACGACACAACACGGATACACGACACGAATACATCTTAAAATTTGAGATAAAGCTTATCTCTCATCGTGTAATCGTAGTATGTCAAATTCGTGGCTGACACGTTTTCATGATATGAATACACGAATTGCCAGGTCTACATCACGCTCTATACATCTTAGTAGCACTCAAGTAAATGGAAAACTCTAACTTCGAAACATCATCTGAAAGTATTTATCTGGTCCTAATGGCGAATGGAATCCAAATATGATTTTATCGAGTCAACAACCCTCGGTTGTCTCTGACAAGATTTTGAATTTTCTGTCGACTCTTTATTTTCATTCCCCGTCTTTGCGGGCTTATCCTAAGCATATCTAATCTTATCCAACAGTGGTGTAACCAATGCCATATTTATGCATGAAATTTGAAATGTTGCACGACTCGTCTTTCAACTCACAACATATGTTATGATGTTAGCTTTGCTTGGTTGGAAAAGTATCTCTTATTCATCATCTTTATTTGCATGTAACTATATTTGTCGCCACGTACACCAATTTTGCTAGTCCATGGGATATATCAGGCTCTTGCGCTTGCGCTTGGTGTATCATGTATACTCCATCTCAATCAGGCAGCATGTTCAGATCCCCTTGGGAAAATCATGTTTATAAGCTTAAGTCGTGGATTAGTAAATTAGCCTTGAGGGGTCTGATTTGTCTTGAGGGGTAAGCAACTTCTTTACTTGCTACACTGGCACACAACCTAGCTCATAATAAGTCGCACCACAGTATATAGTTTATCTTCAGCCCCTTTACGCAAAGTCTAGACAATAGCTTCTTATAACGTATGCCCTTCAACACTCCTGAAGTTGCCTGTTATTCGTATCATCGTTCAATTATTATTTCTGAAACTTAGAAAGCTCGATCAGGTATTTGGACCATGCTTTAGTCCCCCAAGTAACAATCAAACAAGAACATGTAAAGGGATGCCCATCACAACCCTCAACCCAAATTGAAGCTTTCTTTTCAAAAAATAAGTTTTTCTTTTCTGCGATCTAATAGGAAACTAGGCAAACTTCATATCATTTGCCTCGTCTCTAGGAACCTCTTTCACAGTTAAATTTATCTTTAACTGAGTTACTACCTCAACTATTTTGGTTTTAAATGGTGATTGTGTTTCTAAATATTATGGATAAAGTAACAATTTATTAAGGTTTGTGAGAAATGAAATTGGCCTTCTTAGCATAATAATATTTGGTATTGGTTAAAACTTCTAATTGATTTTCACGTCACCTATGAAGTACTTAAAATTGTTGTCTCTCAAGTTACCACCTATTGTTCTTTTCGTATGACAATTTTGCATTATACACAATTGCAGGCTATGATGAACAGAAGTTTTTAGTAGTAGGAGCCAATTTTAATTGATTAAAATGCACCAAATTGTTGAATTTTTTTCCCAGGAGGCAACTTTATTGATTAAAATGCACCAAATTGTTCAGAAATTTTCCATCTTGTGTCCATTTTCCATAGCCAAAATGCTGTTTTGCAGCATGAAAAATCATCAAAGTTTTAACACCTATTGGTGAATTAGTTGGGAGCCCATAAAAGCTCTTTATAGAAACCTAATTTATGTTCTTTTTAACAGCCAAAATGGTAAAGAACAGCAGCTCCAATTGGTGCCTTATAAACTAAAAATCAGTAGTAAAATACTTTCAAGTGCCATTTAAAGGAGTCAAACATTAACAATGTAAATGGGTGTTGATTGCTTAGGATGTTATATTTATAGTGTGGTTAAGATTTAAAATCCATGTATGTTATATCTATCAATACAGTCATTTCAATTGAAGTATTCCAATTTAGTGTACACCCTTCTTATTGGTTGGTTGAAATTACAAATTCTTGGTGTTCAACATATTCATCATGTTGTATTCTTCGAATTCACAAACCCAAACTAATATCATATTAGTTATTTGTGATAATAAAAAAAAGTATAATGTTAGTTAAATAATTTTAGAAGAAAATAGAGTATATAAACATGACATGAAGGATGCCTTTCAAGAATAAAAATACATGTAAATACTCAAATCAATATTTGTTTATTAGTTGTAATATATATATATATCTATATACCTTAAAAAGCATTTAGCTCTTTTAGGACAAGAAGTCTTAAATTTAAGTAGTACAAAATGTTAAACACAACATACAAGTATCTAATGCATGATATCTCTTATTAGTATAAGACCACCTTAACTCTCGCGTATTGTTTTCCATCTCTCCTTATCTTATCTTGACCTGGTCTTTCTTTTTCATTTGAATTCCCACTTGAAACTCAGTCAAAGAACTCAGTAGATGGGTTTCCTTAATCCTGCCCACCAATCCCGGCTCCAGTATAGCTCCCCCATAACCGATCCTGCCCCTCTTCTACAAATTACTTACATCCTCCAATTTCTCTTTGCTCTCTCTCAATTCTTGATGTGTGCTTATTTCATTTCATGTTGATTCTTTGGTTTATATTAACGTAAGGTTTGTGGTTTTCCTGCAGGTTCCCTACCACGAACACTGTTGCCACCATCTATGTCATCCCCAAACCACATCGGTGGATCTGGACTCTAAATCCCCCTTTTAAAGAAACTAATGCCAGCCACATCCCAAGCCCTATATCCTCCACAACAATTAATATATTTCTAACAAGCTCCAAGTTGTTGTCGCTTTTCATGGTAACCACCGCACAACCACCCATCCTAAAATTCAATCGGAAGAGCAACAACATTTACAGCCGCCAACCCCCGACACCACACCAACCACCGATTCTCCCTTCTCCAACAGCTGGCTATGTGTGGCTTGAGTGAATGTGTTCTACTACGGCTCACTATGGTGTCATGTTTTGTTGAAGGTCCGACTATGGTGATGGGTTTCGATTGAGATGACGGTAGATTAACCATCTATCTCCGACTGTACTGTTGATCGCTGACCACAAAGGTCTTCATCTCTCTCTATCTCTCAACGACTTTGTGTGTATCATATCTATTTATGGAGTCATAGACTAAAAGTGGTTGAAGCAAAAGTTGAAGGTGTTAATTTGATCAGATCTGTGTTCACAGACACATACATATTTATTTGTTCTACATTTGGCCTTTCAGGTAAGTAGTGCCTCAAGATGTTGATTCCTCATGATGAAGGGAAATATCACATGGTTGACTCCTTATGCACTTCAGTAAGTAATGCCTTAAGATGTTTACTTTCGTGGAGTTATATGAGGTTTGTGATGCATTCAAGTTTTTACCTTTGTTATGAATTATTTCTATTTGTTTATCAGTTACATGATTTCATCTCATACTTACATTTATTTTAATTTAATATGCAAACTCTCCTTGGTTTTATCAATCTTAGACTCTATTATTCAATAAATTTGAAATATTCATCTACCCTTGATTCTCGACTGAAAGCTTTAGCTTCATGTAGGAATTTTCTATCACATAATAGATTATTACTGAATATGTCATGTTTTAATAAATTTTTAAAAATTTATGCAAATATATATACTTTGACAAGGTATTTTGATGCTAATGACCATACAGATGGAGCAAATAATGCAGAATCTGGCCTTGGAATAGCCCAACTTCAACCCTAAAGCCCTGCTAATGAACCTGGTGCATTAATGCATGCACATTGACTTTCTTGCTTTTTCAATATAATATAGGCAAGTGTATCAACTCTTAACTCTCAAGTATCTCTCATCTTCCTGTATCTTAGTCTAAGATAAATGCTTATGTTTTAAACTTTTAACTGCTAATTGTTTATTTATAATTCCCTTTTTATAAATTGTGTATTCATATTAAAAATTGGTTATCGGTAGGGCTTTCAAATGACCTGCTAAAAGAACAGGCAATATTATCTACATTCAGTTGTAAGGCTTCTTTGTACAAGTGTTGTTATAACCGTTTAGTTTGTTTTGGTTCTTGATTCTATTTTGGGTTTATTGCATCTACATATATGTAGGTATTATTTTGGTTTTCAAAAGCTCAAGACATATAATTAAAGTTTTTGTATCAAGATCAAGCTAGAGATAATGTAGGCAATTCATGTTTGTGTTTGAAGATATTAAACTCTCATCATTGTTTGCCAAAGAATTTGTAGTGCTCAGTTGTAGTTTGGAATAAGTATAGTGACTTAAAAGGTGCGATGATTGACAATCTGGCCTTTGGCTTCATGGTTTGGTCGTTAAAGGGCAATCTAGACCATTTTACCCTCGAATGGGAGAGAGTAACCTCCGATGTTGTTTTATTGTTTACTGCATGTTCTGAATGTTAAAAAAATATGCTAAAGTGCAATATATGATGTTCTGGTTGGTTTTGCATTACTCTACACACAAGTGTGTTGGCTTTCCCTCTGTTGGACGATATTACCCTTGGCCTAATTTCACATGTGTTGGCTTTCCCCCTATATGTATGTGCTCTATATAATATAACAAATAGAAATATATTTTGCAAAAAAAAACCAATTAAAACAATGCACTTTAATATTTACTCATAATAGCAAAGTACTTTGAATTTTTTCATGATGAACTAAAAATGGGCTGCTTTTTCTGCATTTAAACATATAAATGGAAGTCCATTGCCATTTCTTGTATTTAACAAATTGGGTGTTATTTTCTTGATTTATAAATAATCTTTTTATTCAAAATAATCTATGGAAGTTATTTGTCCACTGTATGATTACAAAAGAATATAACAATTTAACCGGATGTACTTTATCAATTATTTTTTAAGGATGTTATGTATGTGGTCTAGCCTAAACATTACAAGTTCTAATTTCATTTTGTATTTTACATCAGTTTTAAAGTACACGCAACTTACTTATATATAACAGTTAACATTAAGATTTTGATCTAAAAACTAATAAAAAAAAAAAAACTAAACAAATTACACAAGCGGCTAATATTCAAAGCCCTCATTACGCGAGGACACTAATCAATAAAAACAAATTAACAATTTATCAACCCTTTTCATCGAGATGAAACAACCCCCTTACGTGCCGTCTGTCGTCCATGAAATATTCCTGTTAGCCGAAAGGGAAACAACTCATAAAACCAAACTATATGAGACTCTACAAATAGAACGTTCATTACAAAATAATATTTTTTTAACAAAATACATCAACATACTTCTATATTTAATCTAAAATAGCAACATACTTTTAAAGGAACATTTCTGAATGACAAATAAACACTAAAAGAAAAAGATTCGTCAAAAAGTAACGTACGTTCCTTAAAATATAACATGTTTCTGAATGGAAATAATTGTCGTTTTTTATATTTAATAAAAAAAAACTAAAATATTTAATCTAAAATAGCAACATACTTTTAGAACTTATTTTTTATCAAAAAAAAACTAAAAATACAGAAATTCATAACTTTTTATCCTTTTTCCAATGATATCAAATTCGAATTTTTTTTAACGTCAAATTCACAATGTGAATCTTTGAAAATTCACAATGTAAATCCGGATTCACACGGTGAATCTGAAAAATATTTTTCACATTCACAATGTTAATATATGAATTTAGATATTTTTAGATTTTTTTTTTCGATAAAGAATAAGCTCTAGAAATTGAAAAAAAGATTTGGTTCCTTGAAGAACCAATAATTATGGTTCTCTATTGAACTTTTCTATATATATATATATATATATATATATATATATATATATATATATATATATATATATATATATATATATATATATATGATTTAACTGAATATCTTTAAAGAAAATCTGAGAGAAACTAATCCTTAAAAAATGACTACTTTTTTAAATTGAAATATTCATTATCATCATCCAAATCAAACTAATTTTTAAAAGAACAATATTTGATACCTGTAGGGTATGTTTAATATCATTTTGATGAAAGTTTATATACTCACCTAAGTTAAACTCTCGGGTTTGTTAGCCATAAGTTACTATTAAACATCGGTGTTCCAGTTATGTTACTAAAAATTATTGATAGAAAGTGGTTTTTGTAATGAAAATAGACTACAAGTGATACCATTGATTACTTTTTGTTAATGGAAAAAAAACGACTTACAATGCCATCAACCAAATCCACACTAGAAAGTATGATGTTATTTCCTTGAACCGACTTCACTAATTCAATATTGACTTTTGGTTCTACAATATTGTTTATTTTATTCGGTGAATAAAATAAACAGAAGAAATTTCCTAAACCTAATTATACGTTGTTTATGCACTATTATTCACATAATATGGATCAAAAACATTAAAAAAAAAAACGTATGTTTTGTTTATATAAATATATTTTTTCTTCCCTTGTAAATTAATTACAATCTCCTAATCTTGCATCCGGACTTCAAATAAATAAATAAAATAAACATAAATCTTATCCTAAACTTACCATTATAAATCAAATCCTCTTATTAAATTAATTCTCATTATATCTGACACCATCTTACATATTAATTAGAAGAAATTTTTTGCTTGCGCATCTGCTATATTTTATAATTCGCTTGTTAATGATGAATTAAATACAAATATTTATTTTTTCTAATCGTTTTAACTATTATTTACATATTGTCATTATAAATATGTCAACCGTTGTTTTCATGGGTTATAACCTCGTAATATATATAATCAAAGGCAAGAAAAAATGCTACAAACAAAGCTTAAGAACCAAGAAACAAAGGCAACAAAATCAGGGGTGGATTTACATGGTGTTTCGGGTAGTACTAACAACCCTTCAAATTTTACCGTTAAGTGCAAAATTTAATGTAAATTCGTCAAAATCCGTTACAAATCCATTGGAAATTCGTCTAATTAATTCCTAATAAATGTAAATTTAAAGTAAATATGTTGGTGTAACCTTTTTAGTGCGATTTTGTGACGGAAATTACGGTCGAAAATGAGTCTTTTTTAGTAATGCATCCTTAAAAAAATTATGCAACCCCTCTTACTTTTTTCTACGTCCCAACAAAATGCAATCAAACTTACGAACTAAGAATCAAAGACAAGAACACATGAGGGTTATTGACGGTAAGAAACTATTGGGGGTTAGCACGAGGGACTAAACATGCTAATTTAGTTTGAAATAGGGACCAAACTTGTAATAAAGTAGATAGCTGGACCAAAGATGTTATGAACACCTAACATCAGGGACCAAACATGTAATTTAGTCAGTAACCGATAAATAGCTTGAACGGATGACGGATCATAACTGTGCATGCCCGCCTTGTTTGGTTTTGCAGCGAAACCCTTAGCGTGCTGTTCACGCACAAATCATAATCTTCACAATGCATAACAAGATTGGTGATTTGGTTCCCCTATTAATTAAAACCTATAAATATCTTGAGAAGGATCAAATCTTCCCTCTCTCTATTTGTTCAATCCTGCACAGCAATCCCTTAGCGTGCGTGTGATTGACGCCCAATTTTCGAAGCCCCGCAATCCAATCCATATGAGGAAGGGAACTAAGAGAAAGGCTGCTCAAGCGAGCCGTAAGGATGAAACAGCTTCTACTTCAACAGAAGCTGTCACCGCCATTGAAGAACAGCAGCAGCAACAGAATAAGGAAGCCGCCAAGATTGGTCGACCAACAAAACGTTCAAAGGTTTCGAAGCCTCCTGAACCAGAGCCTGAGTTCTTCGATGAACAACGTGAACTGGTAAAATAACTGTCTTGCTGATTGTGTTTTAATGGAAAGTATTGCACAGCAAACACTTCTTCGTGCATATCATAAATAAACAAAAGTGCGAATGATTATTGAAAATATGTGTATATTTTGGTGTTGTAACGTCAACTTTTGTGTTATGTTATGCACTTATGCTCTACAGATTCGGTTTTGAAGTAAAAAGTTCAGACCTTCAAAAATTAAAATAAATATGTACTCTGTTACAGATGCCTTTAATGTGCATTGGCCTTTTCAAGGGTTAATTTAGTTTTCAAAAAGGTTTTTAGAATAAACTCATATCAAGATTGAATATGTCAAAACTTGATGTTTGTATCTAATTTTAGCTTCAATGTGTTGTTACTTATTGTTTTTGCAGGAGGACTTATGGAAGCAGGTGTTCCCTGTTGGGACAGAGGTATGTATATTTATGTTAAATCTCATTAATTTCTTTACATTGTGATTGTGTTAACAGGATACTCATTTGATTTTATATTTTCATGACAGTGGGAGCTGCTTGACTTGCTTTCTAAATACAAATGGAATTTCTCAAATCTTGAAGTGAGTTACATTGTAGTTCATGTTAATATGTTACTAGTGTTTCTCAAAGTTTTATTGCATTGAGAAAAATATAAATGGTTAGAAATATAACTAACCAAGCTTTAAATCGGTTTTCCAATTATACAACAGGATGCATTTGAAGAGGGTGGGGTATTACATGGGAAAAAAGTCTATCTCTTCAGTTGTACAGAGTGTAAGTAGTGAATGAAAACTAAAACTTTAAAAAAAAAAAAATTTAAGCTCATTGTTTTATACATAAAGCCTAGAACTTTGACTCAATATTGTAACCATTTTTTTTTTTTTTTTTGTCTTTTGCAGCTGGTGGTAAATCGGGAGTAATCTTAATACCTACAGTGGTTGCTGTAAGTGGAACAATTTCTTTATTCTTCTAATAGTCATTGTTAACAACATTCTTTCAATTGCATTGTTGATTGTTATTAGTTTTATTTATTACATTTACCTTTTTTAAATATTGAGCAGGTTGTATCTCCATTTCCACCTTCTGATAAGATTGGAGTTAAATCTGTACAAAGAGAGAAAGAAGAAATTCTTGACATGAAACGAATGAAAATGGATTGGGTTCCATATATTCCATTAGGAAAACGGTAATTATCAAATATCAATTCTTCAATTCCAATTCATCTTCATTTTTGTTGGTGTTTACATTTCCATGAATCTCATTCTTACAGAGGTTCTTCAGTTGAAAGACTTAAATCTCAAATCTTCATTCTAAGCTGTGTCCAAAGAAGGTATTCTTTCTTAATAAAATTCTATTTTGATTATAGTTTGCATGTTTTTTTTTAAAAAAAGGTCTGATTTCTCACTATCTGATTTTGAATCAGGGCTGGTTTAAAACAACTGGATGAATATCGTGTCAAGGATTTTGAATATTGCTTACCATGTAAGTACATAATATGTGGATTCATTAAGGAAATGTTTTGGATGATGGAATTAATTAACAAAAGAATCATAATCTTTATTGAATACACTGTTATTTATTTAAAAGAGTTGAAACTTTTCATTGTGTTTACAATTACATATAATAATAAGTTGTTTTTGTTGTTACAGATTTTTATCATCCTTTTAAGGAAGATGAGACAGAACAAAGTACTATTGTGAACATCATGTATCACACAGAACCAAAGCTTGTAAGTTGATTTTTTTAGCATTTGTCAGATGATATATCATGATCCATTCATACAACTTTGACTTGTGTTGTCACTAATTTGCTTTAATTTTGACTTTCTATAGGTTGTCTGTGAGTTTGATTGGGAGCTGGATGAACTTGAGGTGAGCTATATTTCTTTCTTTTTCTAATTTTTATATCTTTCTTAACTTATTCATTTATGTTTCTAAAGAGTCTAAACCAGATAGAAATACTGTTTTTGACAATTGTTTCTATTTTTGTAAAATCAATGTTGTTTTGTAGAATCATGTGAATACTAATTGTAAATAGTAAAAGCATCTCAATTTTTTTTTTTTTTTTTTGCCATTCATGAGGTTGAGGACTTGAGGTTTGATAATAAACCACAATTTGTATAATCATTAAAACTCTTGTAACTTTTTTTTAGGAATTCACTGATGACCTCATTAAAGCAGAGGAGTTGTCTGAAGATCAAAAGGATGCCTTTAAGGTAAACATCAAACTTTGACCCTGTTTTGTTTTATTGGAAGCCAAATGTAAGAAACTAAATTGCTGTTTCTTGCATGTAGTCCTTTTTTGCATTGAATAAATGATGTTCAATAAAATATCTGAGAAAAAGATGTCACACTATAGTTTAGTTTGTTCAGTTGTCTTTATTGGAAGTATTTTTACTAAATAAAATATATATTTTTTATATAGGAATTTGTAAAGGCTAAGGTTCGAGAAGAAAAGAGAGCTAATCGCGAGGTAACTTTTGTGAAATAAGTTATTTATATTTAGTCTATATAATACTTGAGCTTTTGTTGTAGTTTTTTTATTAATATTATTATGACATTTATTAGGCAAGGGAAAAGAGGAAGAATGCTAGAGAGTCAATGAGTGAAGAGGAAAAGGCTGCATTTGAAAGCATCAAATTTTATAAATTCTACCCTCTTAACACACCCAGCACCCCAGATTCCGAGTGTTTAAAGGTTCGATATTTTTTTTTCCTTCTTTTATACAAAAGAATACACTTTTTGACCTTTGATGCAATATGACCTATTTGCCTTTGATTTAGATGATCAACAGCTTATGTTTATCATCGCCATTTAGTGATATTTGTTAACCATGTGTGTTTTTCTTTCACTTTCAGACTGCTTTCATAAATAGGTATTACGGAAAGGCACATCAAGTACTTTGACTGAATTACCCTCAAGACATTAAGAGATTTTTGTAGCGCTATATATTTATTTATAGTTGTAGGAACTTTGTCATTGACTTGTTGACATTTATTAACATATCTGGTTTTGTTATCGATTAATATTTTGTTAATCTGTGTCTCCCTCTCTCTGTTTTGTTAATAGGGTCGGGTTTCGGGTAGGATGTGATTCGTTTATTCGGGTTCGGGTCAACCCAATTAACACGTTTTAGCCCATCAACTTTAAAACATTTTTATATTCTGCATTTATGTTGTACTACTACCCTTGCAGCTTGTACCCCATGAATTCAAGTTATCAAACAACTGAACAAGTTAGTTGTTGATCTGCATGATATGTCTTTATCGTGAGTCTCATAATTCTAATGCATGCATGTATATTTCTCAAGTAAGTTACTTTTTTTATGTTTGTGGTATGCTACTATTAGCTAAATAAACCCGACTAACTGTACCTTAATAGGCCGGGTTTAGGGTAAAATTTCCTTTTTGGAAAAAACAACCAAAATAGCCTGAAACCCGATTAACACCCAGTCTACAAAGCAATTTTCATTAATGTCTAAAAAGAAAGATAAAAAGTAGATTTTTCAAAACAAAATATTCAATAAAAAAGCTCAAAGTATAATGCGCAGTGTGCAGGGCCGGTCCTAAGATATTTGGGACCCGAGACAAAACAAAAAAAAAAGGCCCTTCAAATTACAAAAAGTTATATAATAATTAAATCTAAGTTAATTTTTTTCGAAGATTCTTGGTAATAGACAAGCTAAGGATCCTAAATAAAAGTGATTTATTACAAAAAAAAAATATATTATTGTATAGATTTATATGTAAATAATTTCAAATGAATTTTAAATAAAATAATTAGTACTATCCCATGACAATCTAAGAAAATCAAACATTTAAACCATTTTGGACTAGGTGTTATTATTTTTTTTATTGTTTATAGGATACAACTTTAATATACATTATAAATAGAAAAAGCAAAGTAAATATAGAAAAAAGAGAAGCAATTAAGGGTTTGAACTCTATTACATAGATTAAACAAAATGTTCATCTTACCAAGTGAGCCCGTAAGATACTAGAATTTCTTATTTTTTTTTGTATGCCAAAGGTTAAAGTGAAGAAAAATACAACTGCTGGGAATTGAACCCAGACGGCTCAATTAATAGAAGAGGCTCATACAAAGTCTGTTGAAGGCTATTTCGCATTATGAAGTAACAAATGCCCATATTATTAAATACATACCGATATAAATTTAGGGCCCCCAAGTTGCTATGGGCATGGGTAGTTACCCAGTTTGCCCCCCCTTCAAAACATCACATCACATTTACGGATTTGGTTAATACATTTTAAGTTGACTTTTTGACCAGAATAGTAGTGTACCAATATTGTGTATGGAGGACAAGGTTGGTGGAGCACCATTACAATCCATAGCACGTAAATAAAGATCATGGCTTGTATGATAATTATCGTCAATGCCAATGGAACATGCATGAATATTATCGTCAACACCAAAATGTCTATTGTGGTTTGAGTCTACCTTATTGTCCGACCCAATGATGTGTGGCGATATTCCTTAGATGACCCACTAATGGGAACCTTATAAGAGATTACAATTATCAATATACAACCATGAATGTTTGGATCAAAATTGATATTTTCTTTAAACTATTGATAACCTTAGGAGACTTTACATTCTTCAAAGTATATAGATGTTTGTCCCAATCTAAATTTTCAATTTCAATGTTCTATGGTCTTGGAGAACTTGGCACTTCAGATTTTCAGGCAATGATGGAATGCAATGTAACGACCCAATTTTTCAAAAGAAAATTTTCATTTTTAATTAACCAAAACACATTTCCATCATCCACAAAATCCAATTACAATTGTTTTCAAAACTCATATCAAATACAACTTATTTCAAAATATCAGAGTGTCCCATAAAATGCTCGAGTGAGAGTGCACGCCGTGCCATCAAGCCTTGCCCTTGCCCTTGGACTTAGATGTACCTGAAACAAATCCATAAACTGTAAGCTAATGCTTAGTGAGTCCCCCAGATCATACCCCACACAATCCACATATCACATATCATATTATCTATAAAAGCTACACATATCACATAAGCCATGCATACAACATATAAGGATGTCGTGGGCTCCCCTAGGGTCTTATACATTCATGTCATGGGCTCTCCCATGGTCTTTACCTAGGAATGTCATGGGCTCCCCCACATGGTCTTATATCCAACTTCCACGGGCTCCCCCGGGTCTTCCATGCAAATCACATATATAATCAACTAGCATATCATATATCACAGAGGTATCTATCATACTACCTAACACATACATAAACATATACGGATGCCGTGGGCTCCCCCCAGGGTCTTATACCAGCATGTCATGGGCTCCCCCACATGGTCTTTACCTAGGAATGCCACAGACTCCCCCACATGGTCTTAAATCCAACTGTCAGGGGTTCCCCCCGAGGTCTTCTATGCAATAACATATATAATCACTAGCATACCACTTAGCATAAAGCTAACTATCATACCTGTGACAACCCGAAATTTTTATCTTGTACAACCAGTCGATTCAATCAAAGTCAGATTCATTTCCGCTATCTTTTAGCATTGTTTAGAGTCTGTTTAAGTGTTCTAAGCTTAAGTACAATCAAGGTTGAGATTAGGGATGAGTAACAAAGTCGTAAAGTGGCATTTCGGGCCATACACTCCTTCAGGAGGAGTGTACGGCCGTACACATGGGTGTGCGGCCGTACACCCCCCCTCATGGCCGTACACTCGAGATGGTCGGTCACCCACCCCTATATATATGTGTGAACCTCACTTCCTTCATTTCTTTCTTCCCTTGGCTACACACCACTCCATTTTCTCTCAAGCTTCTTCAACCGTGAACCCTCCAAGGCTTCAAAAATGTAAGTATTCCATCCTTTAGCTTGTTATACTTGAAAGACCTCTTGATTCAAGCCTTGATTCTTCAAGTTTCAACATGTTCTTCATCCTTTGAAGGGAGTACAGTCGTACACCTTCATAAGGTTGGCCGTACACACCTTAAAGGCCCTCCAAAGTGAGAGTTTAGCCCCTATCATCTAGTTGGACATGCTAAACCTTTGATCCTAGCCTTGATTCACCTTAAAATCGACCAATTTAGCATGAACATGAAGGGTGTACGGCCGCACACCCCTTGTACGGCCGCACACACCTCATAGGGTCGTAAACCCTCTTTGATGCTCATTATTGGCCTTAAACTTGCATTAAAACTAAGCATGGGACCTAGAACACTTCCTTGATGCTATTTAGGACCTTAAAAACACCTCAAATGCACACTTCTTCATGAGTGTACGGTTGTACACTCATGGGCCGTACACCCATGGCTGTACACACCTTTGTGTGGCCGTAAACCTCCCTCATTCAATCACATATGATTCTAACATCTAGTTTCAAGTGTTTCCAAGTCCCTAAGGTGGTTTCCTATCATAATTAGTTGTGGTATACCCTAATTTGATGCATATATGTGTTATTACATGCTAAATAGGATCCGTTTGTGTTCGAGACTTCACTTGACACTCAGCATCCCATATCGATCTTCCATTCAAACCACTCACTTCAAGTGAGTTCATACCCCTACATTTGTCCGAGTTTTAATGTTTTCAGGGGGGTAATACAAGCCAAACATAAATGATTTTATGAAATTTATACAAAAAGGATTTCAATAAACTTAAAACGGATGCAATCGATACAAACATACAGTTTCTATACTTCTATAAAATATTTAGATATTTTATCCCTTCTGTATTAAGCTGAGCATAAGGGACGTTTCCAACTTACAAGCTTAACCACATAGTTTTCAGATCAATACATGATTATACATATACAAACACACAAACTATATTAGGTATAGTTTGGGAATTCATACAAGGTTAAACATATACAAATACACAAACTATAATAAGTATAGTTTGGGAATTCATACAAGGTTAAACATAGACAAACACACAAACTATATTAGGTATAGTTTGGGAATTTATACAAGGTTAAACATATACAAATACACAACTATAATAGGTATAGTTGAGAATTCATTAAACGGTTTACAAACTTATCTTTTATAAACCTTTCCGTTACTTATAAAAAGGGTTTTCATGTATTATTACTTGTAAAGTCGTTAATCTAGTTGGAGACACGTCCTTGGGCGCTTACAAACATAACTAAGTGGAGGACTACCCCTTATGATCCAGAATCTCCCCGAGGGAGAGCGTGAGTTTGTGTATAGATCTATACGGGACTGACTATCCCGCACCTTGCTGCTAGCTATAGTAGGACCGGCAGGTCTACGGGTGACAAAGTCATAAAGGATACTGGTGCCCGATTCGCGCCATATCAAGTTTAGTATGGTCATAAAACTCGCAAGTAGATAAAAACGATATACTTATGTAGTAATATACTTTACAATGATTATTTAGCATAATTATGGAAAATACATGGTTTCTTTATGAAGAATAAAACTACTACACATACTGCTAATAACCAGGGTTTTCAAACATAACATTTTACACAAAAGGTATTTCATACAAAATTTATCATACAATACATCTAGTAGTAATCAAACATACAAACTACTATGTTTTGTATACTACAACCGGATACAATAACAAACATTCATAGTTAGTTCTATAACTATTTAGTATATGCACCAGGGTTACGTATGAAGAATACTCGATAGACTGTGGGATATGTGGTTTCTGCCTTATTTCCCGTTCCTTGTTTGGTTGTGGGCTTAGGGCAGATCCATATATGAAAGAACCCCTTTCTATACTTTCATATTTTATGAAAGACCCAAATTTTCATATTTGACGATTCTTATTCTGAAACATGCTATATGCATATTCATAAAACAATATTTTATATTGATAAAACGATTACAAACTACTGGATACAAACCCACTATTTCATAGTGTTATATATTACATAACTCCCCAGGATACTATAGTTTTATACATATGGGAGTGCAAAATACAATAGTTTCAAACTATTC